GTAACTTTGGGTGATGAAAAAAGAGACACGTAAAACCCCCCACAATAGAATAACCTCCAAAATGATTGAAAAGTCAACACCTCCAAAAGAATTGTGTGAAAATAATATAGTTACTTAATATATATATATACATAATTGTGATAATTTTTGCTTTCCTATCAGTTTTTGATTCTTTTTGGAGGGTTGCTCTCCACGGCCATTTCATGGCCCATGCTCCGCATCGGCAGAGCCAGGTTTCGGAAGCTGCAAGCCGCTGGGAGGTGCGATGTCATGACTGTGACTGTGACTGAAAATAGGATCTACAGTACCTTCAAAATAGCCTTGTGAATGGGGAACGAATCCGAAAAAATCATCAAATAAAAAAAAATGGGTACCATATTTTCAGACAGACACAAAAGGGAATTGACATGAAACCACCAAACATATCCATGCGGAGTAAAGAAGTGGCTACAGCCATTGACTGGGGAATATGCATGAATGTGATGATCAACACTGATCAATTATATAGTGGATTTTGGGATACCACATTTTCTGACAATCCCATATGATTGCTTGAATCACCTTCCAAAACTCCTCCATTGGTCAAATCTCTTTTCCCTGGGGTAAACATAGACATAGATGCGGAACATGGTCTATTTACAATCATTTATTATAGATGACCAACGAATGGTGAATTTCCACATCCATGTTAGTTGCCGTTAGTTTACATCCAGGTTAGTTACTGTTACCCTCTGGTAAACTAACATAGCTATGGAAAATCACTATTTTTAATGGGTAAATCCACTATAGATGGCCATTTTCAATAGCTTTTTGTATGTTTACCAGAGGGTAGTTACTGTGAATGTCCAAATCCCAACCTTTGGCCGTTTGATTTTGGCCGCTTCCATCCGATCCCGAGTGAACTCTGGATCATGACGGAGCGTCCCCCACTAGCAGGTGAGCGACGAAAGCCAGGAGCAGCCTCAGTGCCATGGTCGAATCTTTAGCTCTTGGAGTCCCAATTTCTATCAATTTCTTGTTGTTAGAAAGATTGCGTATATATATATATATATCTAAAATTAATTATCTAAATATGATGTATATAATTGTATATACCCACATCATCAAGCAATGGAACTATATACACCATATTCCCATTAGTTGTTCGTTGATAAAAATAACACCTTTTGTCATAAACCATAGTAAGCCAATCATATAATTTATAACTATATGATACTATATGGATGTTTCCTAAGTTATGAGGGTACCTGCAGATCATCCCATCATGGATGAGCAAACTATAGTATTGAAAAATCATGGTGACTTGGGGATTCCAATATTTGTTTTAAATTTGAGGTTACTATACATATTTGCATAACATAATTCATCATAATTCTATAATTAGTTTTGATGTTTGTGGATGGCCTGAAATCCCAAACAGGGTTGAGAAGTTTGACCTTCATCCTCATAAGAATTTCATTTTTTTGATGCTTAGAATCCCAAGATCTGTCCTTTAATTTAAGGCAGGTCGTCATTGCCATCGAATTTGGTAAGTGGGTAGCGGATGGTAGCGGAAGTAACATGGCTCAGCAGTCTCCCATTCAGGATTATGCCAAGTAGATTTCCAAGCATGGCTTGCCCTTGACCACCCTTGAGCCAAGGCTGCGACGTCAGGTGCGAAGGAAACCGAATTTCGCCAGCCAGTCAGCCACAGCATGCATGTTGGTTTCCCAATGTTTCCTAGATGGTATAGTCCCGTAATTTGAAGCCTCAAACTTTGGACATCCCGGTCTGTTGATGTCCTACCCTTCCGAGCCGACGGATTTCCAATTGGCAATTTGGCGGATAGCCAGGGAAACCATCCCTGACAATGGCCTCAAACCAGCTTTTGGAATTATAATTATTTTGTGAGTTTCCCAGACAATTGAAATCACCTTCAGTTCATCACTCAGGCATCCCACTTGGAACATCATACTGTACCAAGGCATCCCACTTGGAACATCATACTGTACCACTTAGTAAGGGGCTACTGTAACGACAAGCCTGCTTAGCAAGTCCCCTAAGTGGGTTATCCATGTAATTCCATGCATGTACTAGCATTACACATAAATGAATGTATAAATAAACACATAGATATAAAATGATATAAAACACACACACAAAAACAGATCTTAAAAACTGAAGACATAGATAAAGACACCAATAGTTAGACGATTGTAAACGGTAACTACAGCTATCATTGCACCGCCAGTTGCAAGCTGCGCCTGCTGCGTGGTCCTGGGACGCTAGCATCGCTTAGGAGCCGATGGGATGGGTTGAAGTGTTGGGAATCTTTTAGGATATTTATATAATGAACTATAAGACTATAATATATATATACACATGATTATTATGATGATAGTACAATTATCATGATATCATATCATAGTATAATATATATATATAATTAATATATATATATATAATATGATGATATCTGTATAATGCACGATACTTGGTGCTTCATCCTACTAAGTTTGCAATCCCAGCTGGCCCAACTATTATTGTTGGACCCTATTTATTCTGTTTACCCCACTGAAAAAACCAGGTCTATCAGTGTCTATGATATTCTAGTCTACTTATATAGTAAGTAGGATGTGCCCACCATTTGCAGATCATTTTCCCGGTGCCATGGGGTAAGCGTAGGGCCGCTTTTGGCCGTAGGGTACCATCAGATCCCATCAGAAATAGAGGTTTTAACCAACACAATTTGGAGGTTTAATCAACAAGAATGGGGCTAATCAAAAATCAAAGTCACACATGGCAGACCCCATATCACCCGACTGTTTAGAACATCATTTTCTCCACGCAAGTTGCAATTCTGGGGTATACATACCCAATTGACAAAAGCTTATGGAGATGTATGGAGGTTTCTTGCAATCGGGAATTTCAAAATTATTTGCGCATGGTGTTTCTTAATGGAGAAACCAATAAATGATTAATGCATGAACTTTGGTAAATGCATACTTAAATTCTCACAATAATGGGGTGATTAATGTACTTTTTAACATGTATTTTTGAGAAGCAATACCTAATTACTGGATTCGCTGAAGGACATTTGATGTTTCTTTCCCACAGCTCAATCCAGCGGGTCACAATCCAAGATTTTTTCTCGTATGAGATATGTAAGCTCTATTTGGGTAGTTTAATCATGTGATATTGTATTGAGAAACCATACCAGATTTACCCATTGACTTACCATTTGAGGGTATTGAAATCTAGTACCCAAAAACGCGGGTTTGACGAAGTTTTGGGCCATCGGCCATGAGAATATCATTACATTGCCCAGCTTGAAATCGACAAGATTCTCCTGCCTTTGACCAGTATGGAAAAAAGATCATCCAACTCCAACTATTGCTCTGTGGTAGATCAATCTGGCAAGGGGAAACCCATTTGGTTAACATATTGGAGGTATGATTTTTCATGCTCCGTATGATGCCCATTGACTAGTATTCTTGTATATTCTTGTGACGGCTGCTTCAACCAGTTGCTCATGTTGGATCAGGTGGAGAGGTTGAACCTGGGGACAGCGGATGCCCGAAAAAAGTCTGAGAATGGAGTGAGTCAAACTCGAAGACCTGCTTGGAACCCCAGAATTTGACCATGCTTAGTGTCCTTTTCCTATATAGTTGTTTCAACTATATATATATATATATACATATGTTGATTTCCATCCTACCAGGTCCTACCATGATCACTGTAGTTGACGAGTATTTTTTGGATGGGTCGAAAACACCAAGCACTTTCAATGGTTTCAACCATCCAAGTTTGGTGGTTGGTCGAAGCTCGGGGCACCTTAGAGAGTGGTTTAATTTTAAAGATATTCGAGCGGCCGCCCTAGCGACTCACACACGGATGCAGTGTGCGCTCCGAAGTGTTGAGTGTTGAAGCCATTGCGCAGAAAAGAAGCAATTCCTAGCGATAGATCGGCAGGGGTGGAGTCACTCAATCAGTAGATTGGACATTTTTACCAGGACATCAAACAAAACTCAACAGCACCTAGAGTTTTTAGGTCAACAGCAGAACATACTCTAGTCATCTCGAGTCTGTTGAGTTTTGGTGATATTTTCGACAATTCTGATTCATACCCCACATAATGTTTCCTATCTGACGACTGAATACCAATTTTTGCGGAAGGAAGAAGAGACCTCGCCTCGGTTGCATGGCCATTTCTTTACTGGATGTATTATAGTCTTATGGTCAAACTTATGGTCGTACACTTGTATTTAGGGCTTGTTTGGGCTATTTTGGGCTTAAATGGGTTTGCTACATATCACATCCAACTGGCAAAAATTCTTCTATCAGGGGATCAACAAACAACCATAGTCCGTGACGAAAGATAGAAACACAGAGACCATCTGGGAATGAAGCATCTAAGGGATTGTGACGTGTGGTTGTTTGATGATTGGTTGATGGTTGATGGTTGATGGTTGGTTGATGGTTGATGGTTGATGGTTGATGGTTGGTTCATCGGGATTCCCATGATCGAGTAAATCGAGTATGAGAATCCCCATCAAATCAATGAGTGTTGTCCGTTTTTGCACCATCTAGGGGCTGTCTGCAGTGTTTTGGTTCTGTAGCTCAGAGAAGCACAGAGACTCACAAGCCACGCGACCGCGACTCGGGGCTTGTTTGTTGCGAGGCCGGTGGACAGAAGTCGCTTTTGGGCCACTGCTGTTGGGGCCTCTTTCCAGGCTACAGAGGCTACTGGACGCAGCGGGAGCTGTAAGCTTGGTGTTTGCTTTAGGTTTGTACAAATAGAGCTGGTGTCACAAAGCAAACCAAGGACACTAATATATTGAGATACATTTTGCACCATTGATTGGGAATCACTGCAATTAGAGAACTTGCGAATATATATATATATATATACACATATAATTTTATACATATATCTATTTTTATATTATATATGATATCTGATCCGGCCCAGCACTTGCATGGTTACCCAACTTCAACTGCAGGTTGAATAGCTGGTCAGTATGAGCTTTGGCCAAGCAGCCCGTGGTGCGGCCTCCTTCTTTCCAGAAGACCGGAAGGAACTTGGCGGCAAATCATACATGATTTGAGTGTATGGTGAAAGGTCAAGAACTTCCAGAATTTCACATACACTCAAATCAATAATTTGTGAGAACTCAATGGTACATTGCACATTCAGTGAAATCATTTTGAGTGTATGGTATATGGCATGATATGGCACTGAAAAACATGATCACAGCCGAATCAGCCGAATGGTGGTTTCTTGGCCTTGGCCGGGATCCTTCAACGTTCCGTTCCACCAAGTCAGGCAGGGATCGCACGACGCAACAAAGTCCAACAAGAGCAGTTCTGGGCGCCAGATTGGGGTGGCATGCGGCTGTAAAAGTGGTACAGTAATGCCAAGCGCAGGATTGACTTTAAGTCTTGGCCAGAAATCTGGGGAAGTGGCTGGGTTTTGCATGGTTTTGGGGGTGATGAATCCTACCTCGACATTTCTAGTTGGCGATGACTTTCTCTCATATCTCATAACTCATAAAACAAAAAAACATATACAAAACATATAAAACATAGGGGTGGGACCCACCCAAACAACCAGGTTTGATGAGTTTGAATATTTAGCGCAGATGATTTCTTGGAGCAGAATCGGAAGCACTCGCAGTGTTCATGGCCTTGAGTTGTGAGCCACACCCAGTAGTAACTTCGATTGTTTTCACTTGAACATGTCCTTCTACAGAGGGTTCCGTGCGGGTTCCGTGCCCCATCAAGGGGTCCTTGCAAGCGAGGAGTTTAGTTTTTCCCTGGACCTTCACAGAATCCTCAACCATGGGTGCTGGCGGTGTACCATAGGCAATGACCTCTAACTTTATTTTTAAACCTCAGATGCCCTTGAAGGAAGCATCACCCAAAAACCTGGTTCCGATCCGCCAACTCCAAGACATTCCCCAAGATTCGTGGGGGTTCATGCCCCAGGCTGCCCTGGTTTGAGGTTGTGCAAAGAGCCAAAGCCATCCTCCAGAGCCGACTTCGTTGGAGATCTCAGATCTCACCAGTCATCCCAGTAAGGGCTACAACCCAGGATTTCAGACTGGTTATATTGTGAGATGAATTATTATACACAGTATGTATGTATATATATAATTTAATATATATATATACATAGTATGTATGTATATAAATGATTATAAATGTATATATACAGTATGTATATATATATATATATCTATAATGTATGTATGTATATAACTTTAAAAGTATGTGTATATATATATACACATATTTATAGTTATATATTTTTACACATTGGAAAACAAGGCCGATCCCTTTGACTACCATTTTGGCCGTTTTGTGTCCTTGCCGCCGCCCAAAACCGCTACCCAGTTCGACCCTCCCAACAGGAGAGGTCTCTGGGCGTTTTCAAGTGCACAGCCGACGCCGGGGCCTTGCTTGGGGAACAGAAAATGGGGAAGCCACAGCAGCCAACATAGGATACAAGCAAAACGATAGTTTTCATGATCATCAAATGTGGGATCATCATTTTTTCTTTTTGTAAATTGTGGTGAGAATGGATGAATTTGTTTTGCCTTAAATAAAACATGGTTTGCGAATTAGATCACCTTCCCCATATATATATACACACATTTATATGTATATATATGTGTGTGTGTATACAGTGTGTAGATATGAACACATGTCTGTACGTACATAACGACATATAATATGCATGACTATTATGCATTTTAATATATATATATCAACGGATACATAATGGATTTTGTTTATGGATACTAAGGGATATTAGTGATTCTTAATGGATATGAAACATACTAATGGTATATATATATAATATTATCCAAAGTCCAAAGATGGTGACCATAAAAATTTGCTGGAAGAACATCGGGATTTTTCCTCCCCCAGGTTGATGCTGGAAATGGGCGACGACTTCGACGGGCCAAGCAACCCATAGCCTGGGTGCTCGGTAGCGAGCTCCGCCTGGGCGATACAAAAAGATGTGGAGAAACCATGGTGAAAGCCTAGGAACATGATGGAACATGATCGAACATGATGGAAAATGATCTACTTCATCTACTTCTATGGTGGGAATAGTGTAGTAACTCAGTAGTAACCTTTTTGTTTTATGATGTTTTATGCCTCATCCATGGGATTATCAACACAAGAAGACTTACGTTGACCAGGGTTATCGGTGACCAAGTGGATCCTCCAAGTAGGATAAACTAACATAGATGAAAGCCATCGTTTCGGAAAAGAAATTGATCTAAACATGGTGGCATTTCCACATCTTTTTCTATGTGAAAGAGGAGGTTACCCTACAAAAATGAGAGGTTAGCCAAATACAAAAATGAGAGGTTAGCCAAATACGGTTTCACCCGCCAAATACGGGTTCGTTTATCCAATTTTAGGAAATGCTAGTTGAAGGGAAACTTTACAGGGCTTACTCTTACCCTTAGATGTACATGAAAACAACCAAGGTTTCCTGTAAAATGACCCTGAAATTAATCCATTGACGAGAGCTGATCTTCGCCTTTGGAAAGACCCTACCGTACCATCTTGGAATGACTTTGGATCACTGACAAGAGGAAATGGCAATGTCACAGAATTTCCAGTCCCTGCTGAAAATGTGTATATATATATAAATATCAAATGAATTCTGTGACATTCAAATTATATCAACCCAACATAAATCTGGGACATGGGACATTTCTATCATCAACCCTTGTTGAGTCCCTTCCTTCTTCTTTTCGCACCTGGCTCAGGACGACCAGCTCTTGGGTGCTCCCTCCGGTGTCGTTGGCGCTGAAGCACATCCCACGGGCCTCCCCAACAGGCGTTTGGCGCCTCCGGCGGATCCTTTTGTCCTTTTGGACTCCATGGAACCCCAAAAAACAGCTGAGTTGATGTGAATGTGGAAATTCCATGAAATTCATCATGTGTTTTTCTGTTTTTCCCGCATTTTCATGCATTTTTTGGTTGCGATTTACGTTTTTCAGGGGCATCATCTCATGGATTGTTTT